TAAGGTGCTGTAGGGCGAGCCGCAGCGGGTATAGGAGCGGGCAGGGGGCTAGGGAGCGAGCGGGGCGGGAAGAGACGTCTAGCCAAAGCACTCTGTCCCCGCGCTGACCGCCCCGCAGCTCGTTCCAGCAGCGCCTGTCCTACACGACGCTCAGCGACCTGGCCCTGGCGCTGGTGGACGGCACCGTGTTCGAGATCGTGCAGGGGCTACTGGAAATCCAGCACCTCACCGAGAAGAGCCTGTATAACCAGCGCCTGCGCCTGCAGAATGAGCACCGAGGTGTGTGGGGCTGTGCCGCCGCAGGGTGGGCTGTGAGCGGGTCGGGTGTCCCGAGCGTCGCTGGAGGAAGTCCCCAAGGTTGACCAGATCATGGGCGTGGCGCCTGCCACAGCAACCACCTTGGTGACCAATGGGTGGAGTCTATTTTATTTTGTTGGCGGTGCATCTCCTTAGCGTTACATCCAGAAACCCCCTGCTGGGCTTCTCTGTAGTCCACCCCCTCCAGGCAAAGTGACCCAGGGCCTTGGCCCCTGCCTGTGCCTTACAGACCCCCGTGGTGGTGGATGACTGATGCGCTGCAGTCGATGGACGTCTGCTAACAACTTTAAGCAAGCACCCTTTAGGGTCAGTGCCATCTCAGGCCTTCAGGGCCCCCACCCACTGCACACCGAATCCTGAGCACTGCTTCTGCATATCCTCCGGGTCCTGAAGAGCTTCCCATCTGAGACATACACTTGGCCCCTCCCAGGCATCCCCACTGGAGGCTCCAGAGCCTGTTTCTGCAAATTTTACCCCCTAACTGCAAATTATAAAGGGCAGCTCCCCCTGCATCATCAGATTTCCACTTCTGCTATTTTATCTTTCCTTAATTCCTTATTTTAAAAGTTCAAACATTTGAAAAAGTTGAAGGAATAGTATGATGAATGCCCTTGTGCTCTCTACCTAGATTAACTAATTTTGCCAGAGTTCTTTATGTTCCTAAATGTATGTAACACACCATTTCACCAGGAGTCTTTGGCACTCCAGGAGACCAGGATGTACAATCCAGCACTAATGACATTTGTGGCTAGATAAGTCTTTTTTTTTTTTTTGAGTTGGCGTCTCACTCTGTCGCTAGATAAGTCTTTATGGTGAGATGCTGTCCTCTGCATTGCCACTGGCACCCTCCCCTAGTGTTGACAACCAGAAATGCCTCCAGACAACCCTGGGGTGTCAACCTTGACCCTAGGTTGAGAGCAAGTGCTCTAGAACAGGAATACTCTCCTACACAACTGCAGAAAGTACTGTCCTGAGAAATTAGCCATTCCAGGGTGTCTTCTGACCTCAGTGCATGGTCATGTTAGAGATTGTTATTCTGTAAACATCCAGTGTAAGTTCATGCACTGCAGGCAGTTACTTTGGTCCCTCTGCTTCTGGAACAGACCTAGCATTTATTGTGGCACTTTTTGAAGAGTGCAGCGCTCTCTGCCTGTAGAATGTCCCTGCTCTGGATCTGTCCAATTGCTGCCTCATGCTGTTTCTTCAGGTGCTGTTTGTAACCTACCTGTTTCTCCACCCACTGGGTTTCCTGTAGACTGGACAGCTTGGAAGAAGCCTGATTAGATGCAGGTTTAATTTGGCAAAACTTCCTCCTAGTAATACAGGTCCCTCCCCAGAGGGCAGGCAGTGTCTATTTGCCCCAGAACTAGTGTGTTCCTGTCAGGAATGGATGTTGGGTTGTTAGATCCTTTTTCTGCAGCTATTGAGGTATCCTGTGGTGAATCTTCATCTTCTGCTGCTACAGTGAATTACAGTGATTTAAATTTCATCCCACTTGATCTTGGTGTATTATCCTTTCTGTTTTGGATATGATCTGCTCTAAAATCTTGCTAAGCATCTTGCCTGTGTGTTCACAGCAGACTTTGGGCTATAGTTTTCATGTAACATCTCTTGTCTGATTTGGGTGTCAGGGGGATGCTGGTTTCTTCAGCTTTCCAGAAGAAAAGTCTATGTGGAATTGGTGTTTATTCTCTTAATGTTTGGGTGATTATCTTTTTAGACTTTGTGTTAAGGTATGAGATATAGAGTCCTCCAATTCCAAGTTCATGGTTTGTTACTCTTTCCAGTGCTCTGGCTGTGCCAAGCCTGGCTGGAGCAGGGGGTTGAGGCTGGCTCCAGCACTTTGCAGGCTCTTCCTTGTTTACTGGTACAGGAAGATGTTGAGACTCATCTTTTCCTATTCTCTGAGCCCTGGACTCAGCCGTTTCTCCACAGAGCCCTAGTTCCGTCTAGTGAGGGGAGGTTTTGATGACAAGCTGTGTGAGTCCTTCAGAAGGTGCAGGCAGAATTTTTGCTTTCGCTCTGGTAGATTTAGCAGGTGGTTGTGGCTGCTGTGACCTTTACATTCTTTGGTCGACTCTGAGGCCAGGCCCCTTCTGCCCAGAGTAGGCATGGTTTTCTCTCACCTTTTGTTTGCCTCCCAGCAGACTCTGGCAGCATCCTGGGACTCGAAGCAGCACTTGCAGAACAGAGTGAGGGAGAAACATTTGCCTGCCTTTTTCTGCTTCCTGGCATCCTGCCCTCCTCACACACGTGTAACCAGATAGCCAAGGAGTCTCTTGTTCTGGTGTTTATGGAGCCACCCCGTGGGGACTCTTGGTTTCACACAGTCTCAAGTGATAAATGCTGTCACCAATGCATACATTGTGTGCAGAAGGAGCCAGGGAAGGCTGTAGACACAGCCAGGAGCTCAGGGGCCCTCCCAAGAGGAGCTGCAAAGTGAGGTCTCTTCTTAGGAAGAGTGTTGGCTTTGTTTTCTTGTGGCTGGGACCCCTCCTTCCCAGGAGCTATAGCCACTTGTTGCTCACTGGGCATGGGTGCTGGCTATGTCATGCTACATGTCCCGTCTTGGGACAGTCTTTTTTTTTTTACATCTCTTGATCACTTTTTCCTGTTTGTTCCTGTCAGAAGGGACAATTTGCACACATCAGTGTTTATGGCACAGTCTAGCAAGTCATGCAGTTTTGCTTGGTGGCACCAGTTGAGCCTGTCAAAGCCACTTGGAATCCCTGGCCCAGGCTCATGGTGCCTCAGGCTTCCCCGAAACTCTGGCCTCCCAGATCTGTGCCCGCTCTGCTTCCTCAGCTGGTATGCAGGGACTGCCCACACTGAAAGGCTCTCTGAGGTTGAAGTGGCCAGCCACACCCCTGGTGGGCAGAGGCCCCCACACTTGGGCATGGCAGCTCCTCTCCTCCTGCTCCTTTTCCAGGCCTTTGCCCGAGGTCGTCTCCAACACTAGAGTAGATGTCCATGGACAGGGGGGCGGGCACACCCAGGGCTGCTGGCCTGTGACCATGTGGGCCCAGAAGCCTTTAGACTGCAGCCTCCCTCCCAGCCACCTCCTCTGGGCTCTTTTGGTCCTCTGAGCCTGGTAGTAGATCTAATCCCTCACATCAGCCTTCCCCACCCACCCTCCTTTTGGGCCCCATACCTTCTGTTGTCCCCTGGATGACTTGCCCCTGGAGGTGGGACCTTACCTGTGTGAGAGCAGCCATGGGAGTCTGAGGGGCCCAGCATCCTGGCACAGAACTTCCTGTCCACCCCCAGGTTGCCCAGCAGGCCAAGGGGTGAGGACTGCTCCCTCTCTTGCTGTCCACTGACAGGCTCTTACCTCCCCCAGTACTCAGGCAGGCCCTGCGGCAGAAACATCAAGAAGCCCAGCAGGCCTGCCGGCCCCACAACCTGCCAGTGCTCCAGGCGGCCCAGCAGCGTGAGCTGGAGGTAGGGGTGTGGGGGACTGGCCAGCCTAGCTCCTTGTGGGCACTGCCTGGCTCTGCCATGTCCAAGCAGAGAGGCTGGGAGGAGGGGCACAGGGTGGGGGTGGCCACCAGGGGCCTAGTGAGTCCCAGCATGTGGCTCTTCCTGTAGAACCCATGTGCCCAGGGCTGAGTGAAGAGTGGGCCCGACTGTGACTTCCCCCACTCCCTGGGACAGCAGCTCCTCGCAGGCTGGAGCTCCACAGAGTGGGTGCTGGGGGGTGGTATTGTGCCAGTGGGGGTGTTGCACTGGCAGCCTCAGGGATCCAAGGGCAATGGTGGGGGTGACGGGGCCAGCAGCAAAGAGCCTTGCCTTCTCCCAGGAAGTTCAGGGACAACTGGAGACTAACCAACAAGCCATGGGTCGGGGGAGGGGTGTCTGCAAAGACTATCTGAAATCCCAAGGCAGTCCCTGCTGGGGCATGCATTTGGGGAAGACCCTTGGATCCTCCTGCAGGGTTTGGCATGGCTGAGGAGAAGGGAGAAGCCTGAGTGGGGAGAGGACACATTGGTGGTCCCAACGGGCAAGGAGCTGGAAGGAACATGCATTCCAGCTGCCCTTGCTTTCGACCCACGGCAGGCGGCAGAGCACCGGATCCGTGAGGAGCAGCGGGCAATGGACCGGAAGATCGTCCTGGAGCTGGACCGGAAGGTGGCCGACCAGCAGAGCACACTGGAGAAAGCAGGGGTGGCTGGCTTCTACGTGACCACCAACCCTCAGGTCAGTAGCCAGGCCTGCTGTGCCCATGGTCCAAGTGCCACTGGTCCCTGAAGGCCTGACTCCATTTGGGCCAGGTCCAGGGGTGGGGGTGTGATAGAATCGAGGTTCCATGGAGCGTTTCTTTGCTATGCCTGGCACAGGGGCCAGGACGCACCTGCAGGGCCCTCCTCCACTCCCCTCCTGTGTACTGCTCCAAGTGTGCCAAGCCAGGACAGTGCCAGCTAGCCTGAGTTCCAGCTTTTTCTGGCAGGCTGTGGCCAGGCTCAACCCTGTAGCTGTTGCCTGGCACCCCAGGCCCTGGTATCTGCTTCTGACAAGGGGATTATTCTGGTTTCATGGAGCCCTCTGCCTCCCAGGAGCTGGTGCTGCAGATGAACCTGTTGGAACTCATCCGGAAGCTGCAGCAGAGGGGCTGCCCAGTGGGCAAAGCAGCACTGTGACTGGGGAGTCCTTACCAGCCACCCGCTGCCCAGCATGGCTGGGAAGTCCGCCCCAACCCCCAAGCATCAGAGAGCTGAGCACAGCTCATCTTCCTGATGTTGGCCCCTGCCTTCCCAGCTGCCAGAAGACTCCTCTTCTGGAGAGAGGCCTGGTGGACTCCAGCTGCCTGTTACCCACTTTGAAATTTTTGGACCAAGTACCAAGATGGTGATGTAAAGGGGAGGCAGGCCCAGCCTGCCCACCATCTGCCCCAGGGCCAGGTAGAGTTGGGGCTAGAGGTTCTGGCGCCTTCTCACACCACAGGGCCCATCCTAATCTGTCCCAGGCCCAGACGAGTGCCAGTTCTGGTCCCAGCCCTTCCCTTGGCAGCTGCAGCCCACATAGAAGGCTAAGCCCTGCGTAACCCAGAGAAATAAAGATGCCCCAGTATGGCCTGAATGTGGCTTGTGTAACAGCTCTGTGGTCTCTGCCACAGCCTGGTATGTCCATAGTCCAGGTATGTCCCCCACCTGATGCAGCCAAGTTGCAGCGCAGACCTCTGCCTGGCTCCCTCCTGTGGGGCTGCGTACCCTGCCCCTCCACCATTATCCCTGCAGAGACTGGGAGCCTCCTGGCCTTCCTCACCCTAGCTCTGGTCCCAGGGCATGGTCATGCCTTCCATACAAGTCTCCATCCAAGCCCCAGGGCACAAAGATCACATCCAACCTGCTGTGTAAGTCTGGGGAAATGCAAGCTAGCAGCTGCCATAGGCCTGGTGCATGGCCTTTTGGGACCACCAGCAGAAGCCTGATGCAGGTCCCTGGCTCACAGGCAGCAGAGGAGGCCTGAAGGGGAGGGCCTGGGGAAAGTGTGCCAGGCCCACACTGGCCTGAGCTTGCAAGCACTGTTGGGTCATGAGTTAGGGAGTCATGGGTGTCCTGTGTGGACCTGGTTTCTAGAGCCAGATGATGCTACAGAGGTCAGAGCCCAGGCAATATTTATCAAGCCCCATGTCAGCCACTCCCTCTCTCCTGCCCAGAGCTGACCCCAAGTGAAGACTGCAGTAGTCAAGACCGTGGCTGCCAGAACAGTGGTTTATTCACCAGGCAGGCCTCCCAGACTAGCTATTGGCCACCCAAGGAGCCTGAGTAGGTCAGGCTCAGCTCCTGGCAGAAGACTGTCCTCCTGGACCAAGGACACGGGGCTGAAAGAGGCAGGGTTGGGCCCACACATGCCAGGGAGTTCCGACAGTCCCCAGCAGCTCTGAGGCATCAGGCCCAGCCCACACCCCAGTGACCACACGTTAGACGGGGCTGAGGGCAGCTGGTCCAGCAGCAGCTCCCGTGCTGGGTACAGAAAGTGAATCCTGTGAAGTTGGGGTTGGCTACACCTGTGGTGACAGCCTGGAAGCCAGACCCTGCTCCCAAGTCCCTGCCCTAGCCTGAGAGTCCTAGGAGGGTGGTGGAGGTGGGGCTAGGCTGGGTGGTGGAAGAGGCTGCCGGTACACAGCCGCCGCCAGAGCTCCTGCCGCAGTAGCTGCCGCTCCCGCTGGGCACCCTTCACAATGCTGCTGTTCTCCAGTGCACGGCGGGACAGGTAGGGCAGCACCTCCATCACAGGGCCATAGGGCACATACTTGTATACTGGGAAGCCGGCCTGGCCTGCGCATAGGTAAAAGAGCAGGCAAGCTAGTGTGAGGCCTAGTCCCTGCCCCACCCCACCCCACAGGGAGGGCCCTACTCACCTAGTGGGAAGCTGATCTGGTCACACATGCCCAGCAGCTGTCCAAAGTACACTTGGCGGTCAGCAGGATGTAGGCCGAGCTCCTCCATCCTGTGAGCAGGTGATGCCAGGCAGGTGAGGGGCCCCACCACCCCCTGGGCCCCTCTGAACTCTGAGCTCTCCTGCCACCCCATCCCCCATCTGCACACTCCAGCCTTCCTCCCCTGCCCTCACCCTAGCCAGGCTTCCCAGCTTCCAGCACAGGCTCCCCCTGGAGAGAACGTAGCCCATGGCCAGCAAAGATCCCCTCCCCAACACCCTCCTGGGAGGTGTAGCCCCTCCTGGTGCCCTGACCACAGAGGCAGACCTACCCCACGGCCTGCCCCATGGACCAGATAAGCCCCATCAGTCCTCCGGGGTTCTGCGTAGCGACTCATCTCCTGCATCACCACCACCCCCCACTCTTCCACAGCTACTGTCCTACATTGTTGCCCCAAGTCCCTTGAGGGTGGCTACTCTGAGTCAAGGTGTGCTGCAAGTTGAAGTAGTAATATTTTGTATATTTTGGGTTAACTAAAATGTATTATTGGCATGAATTTTATATTTTAACATAGCTACTAAAATTTTTTTAAATCACAGCTGTGACTCGCATGATGTTTATCAGACAGCACTGCGCAGATGTTGGGGTGGCCCTCAGCTCTGTCCCTTCTTAGCACCACCCCCTGCAGGACTTTACAAAATCCCAGGGTTTGGAAGGTCCACATGTTAACAGTGCTCACGTCTTCAGCCCCATGTCCCATATCCAGTGTCCAGACTCTGCCTGTTTGTACCAGCCTCTGCCCCCTCACCCAGGACTCCCCTGGCTCATCACTCTCAGGGTCCATCAGCCCCAATCTCAGCTTCCTGAAGTCCCAGGTCCCCTGCAGGAGGGCCAGCCATGGCTCTTTCCCTGCATCCCTGGGCTGGAATGGGCTGATGTCAGGGCCACCCAGTCTAGCATGGGCACTCACCTGCCACATCACACTGGTTTGGAGTCTGTCTCCACCTCTGGAAGGGGAACTCTGAGAGCTACTTCCACTATCCTGTCCCTCCCCTGCTGGTGTCTACGGCCTCTGGCACATGACCACAGCTTCTCCCAAGCAGCTTCTCCCTCTTCGGGCATTTCAGAAGCCTGAGGCACTGCATGACAAAGCCTGGGCTGGCCTGTGGGACCCTGGACATGCAGTGCAACACTTGACTGCCCTGTGAAGGAGGCTGTTACCCTGTGAAGGAGGCTGTTGGAACCCACCAGCCACCAGCTCACTGCAGATGCGGAAAGGCCTCAGATAAGGCCCATGGGACATATTGACGTCAAGTCAGGCTGCTTGCCAGTGGTGCCTGACTTGATGGCATGGTGGCCTGCACCTGGAGAGGACAGGGCAGCTGCTGTCATTAACCCAGAGCTGCTTCCCCAGGGGAAGCGCCCTGTCCGCCCAGAGGCACAGAACTATAGCCTGCTCAGGCCTGGCAATGAGCGCAGTATCGGAAGACCTAGGCATAGGTCCCAGGAGCCACAAGGAAAGAGCCCAGCTGGCACTTGGGGGAGGGGGAAGCTGCATGGGGCAGGAGGCACTGCAGCACAGTGGTGAAAACAGACCAGTCCTCGGGAAGGCTAGATGTCAAAAAAGGAAGGAGGCCTGCCAAGAGGCTGTCTGTGATATTAGTTAGGGTCTGCGTCACCAGCCCGTGAGTCCACCCTACAGTACAAGTGGCCAGCAAAAGCCAGCACATCCTCACTGAAAGTGAACAAGAGACCTTGCCTGTAGGCCAGCCTGCTCGCAGCCATGGAGGAACAGCGAGCCCCTTCCTCACCAATGTATCAACAGCGTCTGGTGGAGGATCAGGGTGCAAAAGGGGGTGCACTGCAATTTCAGCCCATGAAACAGCAGCACCGTCATAAGCAAAACATGAGCGTGGATGTCACTAAGTGACCTTGACACTGCAGTTAGCACTTGAGCAGCATGGGGACTTGCCCCTAAGGCTTGGGCCTGTCCTGCTGTGGAGCAGGACCCCCACTTGGCTCCTGGGAAAGTGAGGGCCAGCAAGGCCACTGCCTAGGGCCCCCAGTTTCTTGGAAGTCCCCATCCCAGGAAGTCAGGAAGCGGGAAGCAAGACCCTAGTGCGGGCAGGGCTTAGGTCGGAGCCTGGGAGATGAGACATGCTGACAGCACCGGAACACTTAGAAACTGACTCCACCTTACTTCCTGCATTGAGTTGTCAGAATTCAACCATAGCTGTGCTCTGTGGGACAAGCGTTTAAGGAGAAAACAGACTATGTTTAACTACAGGTGCATCGAAACAGTAAGGGAAACCGTTAATAAATGAGGAGGCCTCCCAGGGGCCTCTGGGATCCAACACCATGTTTGTACATTTCCATTTGAATCCCCAAGGAGATGCAGTTTTTGAATTTGAAAGTTTTGTAAGTCAGGTATTAATTTTAGAAACCAAAGTAACTGCAAGTAGCTTTCTTGTTCTTGCAGCTCAGCATCAAGCATGCCGGCTGGGCCTGAGGCTTGCAGGCTTCGAAGCCACTGCTGGCCGTTCCATACCCATCACCTAGATATCCTACCTGCCAGGCAGTCTCCTTGCATACCCAAACCCTGCGTCCCGGCGGTGTAGCAGGTGCCTACCTGCGCAGTGTGAAGCGCACCGTGTCCTCGTTGTGGGAGGCCACCATCACCTCAGCCTTGGTGTTGAGCTTCAGCTCCTCCAGCACGTAATTGAGGCACCTGGGGGAGAGCAGCCATGAGCCCACAGTGTCGGAAGGCCAGCCCAGAAGTAGCACTTCCCCTTCCCAGTGCGCCTCAAGAAAAAGAAAGCTCAGCCACCAGGAGAAGTGAGCAATGTCTGGGACCAGATGGCATCACCGCAACATGCTCTGTGACCATGGGCACCTGCCCGGGCACCTTGTGACAGACACAGCTTCACTTCTAGAAAGGGATCCTGCAGCGCATCCTGCCCGTGAGGACAGACAGGGAAGCCAGTTACAGGGGTCTTGGGTATAGAGAGCCCTAGGACCAAAGACCTTGTGGTACTGCCCTCAGGCAGTTGAGTACATGCAGCAGGCTCAACAACACACATGCTCTTTCTGACCCGTGATCCGAGCCCAGGAGCACACAAGAGCTGTGTCCTCAGACACAGAGACACCCATACAACACACGTGCAACGGGGCAGGACGTTCAGCAAGTCCTGTTAAAATAACCAGGTGGAAAACGGAGACACTGAACATGTGGTCCTGGGTGCCCATGCAGTGGCAGTAGCACCACTCTGCACGTGGACAAGGGAGGCTCCAGACTGCACCACATGAACGATGTGAAGGCCAGGACACAGCATGCGATATAAGCCATAGGGGCTGGCTGTGCACAGCACGACATGGGCAGGAGGGGAACCAATGAGGACACACTTGGGTCTCTGCCTTTGTGGTGTGCACCATGGCACTGAGGAAGGAGCATGGCTACCAGCCCATGCAGTGTGCGTTGAGGTGACAGCACAGAGGCAGGTGCGGCCATAAGCAGGGGAAGCAGGGAGGCCACACCACAGGCAGGGGAGGGCAGGGAGGCTGCGCACGCCTCTCCAAGTGTCAGCTGGCACCGGCCCCAGGCCAAGGTCAGTTATGTTTTGTTCAGTAGGCTTTTCTGTATTTAAAAAGGAATAACCTTCATGTTTTGAAAAGTGACACATGACACAAAAGGAGAGAATGTCTGCTCTGGCCTTAGGACACATATGGCTCTAGCTCCTGTGGGAGCTTCTGGCCTGGTGGGTTGGATAGGGGTGACCACAGCAGCATCCCGAGCCCCTCCCTCGGGCCACACTCCTCAATCCCTGCCCCATACCTGTGGTACATGGAATTGGTGGCCTCATATGTGGGGTTGAGGGGGTCCTCGTAGCCTATCTCCACTGCACGGGCACGCTCCTGGGCCATGTAGGCACCCCGCACCAGCTTGGCCCCAAAACACCAGCCCTCGCGGCGAGCCAGTTCCACATCCAGGGTCACATTGTCATAGGCGTCCTGTGGGGCCAGAGGTTGCAGGGAGCCCAGTCACACCCAGATGATGGATGGACAGTACCTTCCTGGGACCTGGGCTCCCAGATGGAATCAGCCAGGGGCACCCAGCTAGGCAGTGCTGCCTGGAACGGGGGAGTATGGCTTGGATCTGGGATCAGATGTAGGTGAGGATAGGTCTTTGAACTCTGTCCTTAAGCAGTGACAGTGGGGATATCTGCAGCCTCCTCTAATGACCTCTATGGCACCTAGGGACAGCTTTGTAGGGGGACAGCCCTGTGGGTTGGGACAGCCCTATAGGGGAGGGAGTGCTATGTGGGAAGCAGCAGTGCTGGGTGGGAGAAAGCAGCCCTGTATGGGGAAAGCAGCCCTGTGTAGGGGAAAGCAGCCATGTGGGGATAAGTAGTCCTGTGGTGGGACAGCCCTGTAGGGGGCAGCCCTGCCTGGGGGGTGGGGGGGAGTATCCATAGTGGGAGGAAGCAGCCCTGTGGGAGGACAGCCTTGTGGAGGGGATACAGCCGTTTGGGGACAGCCCTGCAGGGTGGAAGCAGCCCTGTGGAAGACAGCCCTGTCGGGGGGAGATGCAGCCCTGTTGGGGTTATAGCCCTGTGGGTAGGACAGCCCTGGGGGAGAAGCAGCCCTGTGGAGGGACAGCACTGTTGGGGATGGGATGAGCAGCCCTGGGGGCGAGCAGCCCTGGGGGGCAAGCAACCCTGGGGGGCAAGCAACCCTAGAAAGGGGAAGTAGCCCTGTGAGGGAGGAAGCAGCCTTGTTGAGGGACAGACCAGGCACCAACAGCCACTCGGTGCTCCAGACTCAGTTTGACAGGGAGGAGTGCACGCTGGGGCACCTGCCTGGTCCCCACGCCACCCTGTGCCCTCTAGCATAAGAGCCCTGGACCTGCTCCCATCCCTGAGCAGCTTAGCATCCTCGGGCTGAAGGACTGGCCGAGGTCCTGCATGGAAGCACCCTGGACATGCAAAATCCCAGGTGAGTCTTTTTGAGGAGGCCCAGAGCATTTATCAGATTGTTGGGGTCCCGAACTAAAACAAGCTGGGGGAGATGGTCATTGGGAAGCCTTGAAATCTAGGAAGTCAAGCACAGCAAGCAGACCCCTGAACAGCTCCTCTTCCTTCGGCTCCTCATATGCTCCTGGCTGGTCCTGAGGCCCAGAGCAGGGGCTGGCAGTGACAGAGGTGGCCCTTCCTCCTCCGAGGTAGTCACCAGCCTCAGCCTAACCTGCAAGGAAGGCATAACCACCGAGCAGGAGTTTTCTTCCTGGACATTGGGTCAGCCCTGCTACAGAGGACCTCGTCAACCTCCCAGACCTGGCCTGCTCCCTTCCCTCCTCGTCTGTCCCACAATCCCTGACCTGTGCTCAGGGCAGGGCCAGGTAAGGGCACTCTCCTGTTAGTGGCCAGTCTTACTGCACATGGGAAGCAGGGGGTAGGTGGGAGGCGGGTAGGGCCATACCTTGAGGTAGCACTGGTAGGTGTTGAAGATGAGTGGCTTCTCTATGTTGAACCTGCGCTGCATCTCCAAAGTCAGGCGGCTGATGGCTGGCTGGAAGTAGGTCTGCTCAGCATCCACCATCAGTCGCACACCCACTTCTGTGGCTTTCTGAGGAGAGTTGCAGTGAGCAGCAGGAGTGACTGGCTTAAGTGACAGAGGTACCGTTCCTCTGCTCGACCCCAGGGTCTACACTGAAGCCCTCCCGCGAGCGGGGCTCACCTTGGCCAGGACATCCATCCGCTGCAGCATCCTGGTCATCTGCTGCTCCTCCTCTTCAGTGAACTGGGACAGCAGAGGCTCCAGCTGTCCTGTCTGGGTACAGCACGTAGTCAGGCCACAGCCTAGGTAGATCCCCAAGGGCCCGACTACACCTCTCAACAGTGCTGCCCCAGCCCACAGGCACCCCCTCAGCCCCATGCAGGGCCAAGAGGGCCATCTGGAACTGACAGCACCCCAGTGCCAGGCCCAGGCCCAGTACCAGGGAGGCCTCACCCTGCCCCATGACTATTTGTGCGTAAAGATCAGCCCCACCTGGGCCAGCTGCACATGGCAACATGGCACCCTGGAACCTTGCACCTGTCAACACACTGCCTTACAGGTGGGGCCTGGTGGCACCAGGAGGGAACTCGGTACCTGTGCCAGGCCTGTACCCCAATGTGAGTGCCCTCATGGCCTCCACAGGTCCCTCAAGGGACCAGCACCAAGGCCTCCCCTCACCCCTCACAGCCCCAGCAGCCTTGTCTCACAGGGTACACGCAGCACCATGCTATCTTTTGCCACACAGAGTTTCAGTGTCCAACAGTGGAGGCCTCAGAGCAGAGCCATGCTGTACACACCACACCGCAAGACTCTGCATCCATGGCTCAAAGCGTGAGGTGGGCTTTAGTTAGCAGGGCTGCGGACATCGGGGGAAGGAAACTCCATCTGCAGGATGTTTTCTGAGGGTGCTCCTGTTCCCAAACCCTGGCTGGGGTGACAGCTCCAGTTCCTGGGCCCCTCCATGGCAGGCACTCTAACAAACATAACTTGGCTCAAGTGATGCCATAGGACTGAGGCAAGGTGGGGGGAGGTCCCAGAGTCTGCCTAGCTCTTGTCTCAGGATGCCAGACTTTGGAGCCCAGCCACCATGTTGGGAGGAAACCCATGCTGCAGCCAGCACTGCCTCCAATGTGCAAGTGGTTGCCTGGACCAGCCCACTACCCTGAGGACAGTTGCCCACAGACCTGAGAGAGAATTACCCAGCTGAGCCCAGCAACCCCAGAACTGTGAGGGGAGAACAACTGTTACCAGTTCAGGCTTCTGAGGATTGGGGTGCCCCAACACATGAGGACAGATGACTTGGGGCAGGTGACAACACCCTCTCCTGTGGTACCTCAAGACTGTCCATAGGTCTCTGTCCCACCAAGCACTCTGTGAACACTAGTGGGTTTGTCTTCTTCCCTCAGACTACAAGCGTCTTTGTGGGGCTGGAGAGGCCCCATAGTGGGCAACGGGAGACACACATGAAGGACTGAATTCTCTTCTTGGCCCAGCACCCAGCTGAGCCAGGACTCAGTGAGGAGGGGCTGCGCTACCTGTGCATTGGGCACCACCAGATGCTTGGAGAGCTTGGTCCTGCTGTCAATGAGGCTGCTCCAATCCAGCAGGTCCACGGTGCTGAGGGAGAAGATACATGAGCCACATGGGGTGGCTGGTGGCTTTCCCCACTGGGATCAGCTGGGGGAGCCAGGCCCAAACCAGCCCATTCCCCAAAAGAGCATCCCCAAACCCAAGTACCACAAAACCCACCTAAGTGTTCAGGTTTAAAAGACAGAGACGATGTAAATGTTATTCTCTGTTTAAAAAATTAATGCACAAGGTCAGACATGGTGGCTCATGCCTGTAATCCCAGCACTTTGGGAGGCAAGAGGATTGCCTCAGCCCAGGGGTTTTGAGAGGCAAGAGGACTGCCTGAGCCCAGGGGTTCAAGACCAGCCTGGGTGACACAGCAAGACCTCATCTCTACAAAAAAATTTTTAAAAATTAGTTGGGCATGGTGGCGCATGCCTGTGGTTCCAACTGCTTGGAAGGCTGAGGAAGGATCACCTGAGCCCAGCAGGTTGAGGCTGCAGTAGCCATGAGCAGGCCTCTGCACTCTAGCCTGGGCAACAGAGAAAGACCTGACTCACACACACACACACAAAAAATTAAAACAACAAATACGCCTGCATCTGGTGGCTATAAAGACATGGGTCCTGAACACCTGAGGCCAGGTGAACCCTGGGGAGAAGCCTAGTGCAGGATCCCAGGCAGGAGGCTGGCACATCCCCAGAGGGGCCCCCTGGTGACCTCAGCCACCAGCCCGAGGATAGGGTATGAGCCCCAGGGAGGGTTGAGCATGCCACCCTCACTCTAGGACCCAGACAGTTCTGTAAGGAGCCCTCTGTGGGATCTGGGCTGGCCCCACATCCACACTGCCCAGCCCAGCCCCTGGGATTCCTCCTGCTCAACGTCTGTTCCCTCGGCAATATCACGCTGAGTTCCCCCCTCTTGGGGAGGCACCAGGACTGGGAAATGCCCAGGGGTTCAGTTAACACCCCTTCTTCTTGGCCTGGGGCTGCTCTTACCCGGACACCCCCAGGGTCTCCGCCGTGAACCAGCCCTCAATCTCTGCCCTGGATGCAATGCCCATCTGTGCGACACTTTCCTTGAGAAGTGAGAAGGTTAGGGTCAGCCTGTTCACATGCATTCCATCCCCACCACTAGGCTTGTGGCGCTGTTTTTGACTTCATGACATCAATAGCAAGAGCAGGATCATTTCTGATATGTTCTGCATCCATACATGTGTTTCCACCCATCTGCTGCGCAGCCCCAGTCCTGCAGGGCTGACACCCGTTTGTGGCACCTCCTCTATCTCTGTCAACCTCCTGAGCCATCCAGAGTCCCCTGGCCACCCCTTCCCCAGTGCCACCGCAGCCATGGAATGAGCCACAGGCACTGGGTATGCCACCGCTCGGCCACGTCCCGTAAGCAGGGTTCTGCCCCAGCCACATGGTTCTGCCCTACCTGTAGCACTGCCAGCTCCAGCTTCGTGTCTGTGGCTGCCAGCCCCGCCTGCCCTTGCTCTGCAGCCATTTGGTGAAAGAAGCGTCTCCACTTGGTCAGCACTTCGGAGAACTGCAGCTGCAAACCAGACCTGAGTGCCACCATACTGCCCGACCAGCCCACCCAGTCTGCCCAGCCCCCAGGGCTCCCCATAGCTCCCATGGCCCCCACAGCCCAGGCCTCCAAGGTACTGGCATGTGCTTTCAGTTGGTGCTGCAGCAGTCTTGAGGACTCGCAAAGCACCATCCTCTGCAGGTGGAAGGTTCTGGCACCTACCAGAAACTGGGGTCTCCCCAGTGCAGTGAGCTTAATGGCGGAGAAGCCGTCGTCGCTGGCTCTGCCTGTCAGAAGCCATGGGAAGAGCCATGAGGGCCCCAGAGGGAGCCTGGCCAGTCCTGACCTGACTCCACCCAGCCGGTGAGGCCCTCACATGTGGTTTCTCTGGGGCCCTGAAGGGAAGTGACACCATAGCAGCATGTGCATTTGCCACACATGTGCAGGACGGCAGTGGGCAAAGGAGCCACCTGCCCACCACCGAGCAGCCTGACAGCTCCCTGCTGCTGCCAGCCTTGGTTTTCTCCCCTATGATATCAGCACTACAGGTTACCCACACATGGGTTGCAGGACCCAGAAACAGAGCAAAATGGAGGTGGAACACTTGAGTGGTCCACATGGCCCTGTCTGCCTCCAGGGCGGACAGGCAGTGAAGGGAGCACAGGGGAAGACCCAGAACTCCCTTGTCAGTCAGGAGGCTGTTTACTGTGCCACTCGCCCCTCCTAAAACACTCAAGAGGTGGGCCAGGCCTGTGTGGTCCCCTGGTTCTGAGGATGAAGGACATGGTATCGAGACCCTGGTGGCTGTGCCAGGAGGGACTCCTTGTTTGAGCTGCGGCACCAGTTTCCCAAGCAGAACCTAGGCCCAGGGACTGGGGCAGCTGCAGTACGCACCTCCTGCAGCCCCAACCTGGGCACCCCGAGGGAGCAGAACAGGAGTGGGGGGTAGGGGCAGGAGGCGGCTTTCTGGAAGCAGCCGGATTCCTCAGGAAAGGGTTGGATGGGGTGGGACACGAGAGTAGCTCGTGCCCAGCCCTCTTCTCCAACATCAGCCTGGCAGTCATCCACCCATGTCTCTGAGAGCCTGGAATCTGCCAGGGCCAGGGCCTGGTGGGGTACATTGTAGCCAGCAGAGAGGGGGCCCACCTGAAGCTTCGATACAGTGCAAAAACGTCTCCATGTGGCTGTCACACTTGGCCTCGTTGGCGTAGAAGTAGGTGCGGGCACTGATGACACCAGCCCTGCGATCCCCAAAGGCCCTGTGGGCCTGGTACTGCTTCTCCCGGTTACTCGCACCTGAGAAGGCAGAGGCATGGCCTGAGCACAGATCCCACACCGTCCCCAAAACCCACAGTGCCCCAAACCCACCTGGCACACACATGCCCATGCCTCAGGACAGTTCTTAGTGGGACCCCACAGACCCAGCCTCTACACTGCTCTCCTGCTTGCCCTCCTTTCTGCACACGCTCCACCAGAAGCAGCCTCTCCCTGGGCTAAGCCGCCTCATGGGGCAAATGGGGCAAATGGTGCCAGGACAGCAAGGCTTCTGTCACAGAGATCTGGCCCCCCTGAACAGGCTACCAGGAGAAGCGGGCCTGTCAGAGCCTGGAGCCACAGGCTGGGAAATATCCTCACCCCACGACCTGCTTATGCCCAAGCCCAGACGCTCCTGTGCAACAGGGGGTGCATGGGGTGGGCGACATCTGCTGCTGACCTTGGACCCTCACTCACCACTGCCATCCCTCTCCACGGCTGAGGTGCAGGACCTGTGGGAAGCAGAAGAGGGTCTGAATCAGGCCACCCACCAGGGCCCCAGGAGACAAGCAAGTTCCCACAGAGGTTGCACTGTGGGCCTCCTTATGACCAGGTCGAGGGCTGCAGCCCCCATGCGGTCACCTAAACCTGGGACAGCAGTCATGGGGCTCTCACACCCCATGCCCTCAGAAACCTGGAGCTCCCTGCAAGTGGAGAATCAGAACAGTATACAAAGAAGCTAGCTGCAAGGGCTTTCCTGCCTCCACAGGAAAGATGAACACAGCCAGCCAGGGCTGAGTGGGGGAGAGCAAGAAGCCACCCAGCACACACAGTCCCAACTCAGTAGCCAGACTCCTGGCTCTGGCCTCCGCCCCACAGTAGAGTTTCCCACTACACTCTGCTGAGCACCTCTGAGGACCCTCGCCATGGCCGAGCACAGGCTCCTGCCCCTGCACATCACCCCTTACTCACATCCAGCCCCAGGCCCAGGCCCCCAGCTGCATCCTTACCCCTGAGGCTTATTTTCCAAGCAGCAATAATGTCTTTTAAAATGCAAAACACATCTTGTCCTGTTATCTTGTTTAAAGGCTTCCTGGGTTCCCATCCTGAGGATGTTTGAAGTCCTCATTAGGATAAGATGGTGAGGCCAGATGCTGGCTGCCCCAGTTCACTGAGCTCTGCTCGGCTGGACCACCAGCTTTATTCCTGCCTGGTCTGACCTGTCCCAAGCCCGCTGGCTCTTCCTGCCTCTACCATGCTGGCTCCCCTCCTCCCAGCCCTACACTCCTGCCAGAGCCACAGCAAACACCGTCTCCTCCTCCTCACAGGTTCCTGGTGCTCAGTTTCAGTGCTGCACCACTTGGAACAGCAAGAGTCATGGCCAACCCTAACCCCCAGCAGCTCTGCCCAACATTCAACTTTGTCTTTAAAGCCATACTCAATTACCTGGGAGAGAGCTCTGCCCACAGCTGGCAGCACCTCAGCCTCCCTGAGGCAACCTAGAGTCACTCAGAGTCTCAGGTGGCAGGTCTGCCAAACCCACAAAAGGGACAGTGCCCCGTGGGCCCTGGGCAAAGGTAAAGGCAGGGAAGCTGTGGCTCACCACATCCCCTGGGCTAACATGTCAAGGGCATGGCTGGCTGGCCAGCTGCCTGGCTTTTGACCTTGCTGCACAGAGCAAGCCCCAGGTGCCCATGCCCTCACTCCTGGGCAACCCCACAGCTCTTATCTGGGGACTTTGAGCAAGAACATCAGGGCTGGGAAATCCCAGCAGGCTGGGGGTTCCCCATGTACTGCCACAGCATGGGAACGAGCTGGCAGTCAGCCACATTCCAGCTGCCTCATACTGGCAAGGAGATGCAACAGGAGAGGGTGGGATATTACTGTGTGACCAAGGAGCAGCTCCCACATAACCAATGCCCAGGACAGGGTACTCGTCATCTCCTCCCAAGGCCTCAGGGTGGGCATCTCAAGAGTCACGGGGCCAGCCCTGGGCCCTTCAAACTGAGGCCTAGATACAGCCAGGCAAATACTACCCCCAAGGGGACCCATGGTTTGTGCTGAGGCCATGGATGCAGCTGGGTACTACCTAGGGCAGAAGCCCTCACAACAAGGAACAGGTGTGGGGCCTTGGGCCTATGGGCTAAAGTCACACAGCCCACGGTTTAGAGAGCATGTGCCTCAGCCACATACAAGCCATCTGCCAAAGACAGGAATCATTGTGCACAAGGTCTGTGGGGACGCAGGGACAGCATGCTCCATGCATCCATGCTCCAAGCTGAGCTAGGCTGGAGAAGCCAGGAGTGAGAGCCACTCCCTGTCCTCCTCTGATAAGCTTAGCAGCAGAATACAGCCTGGGGCTACCTCAGGAACAGGCCAGAGCATATGGAAACTCGCCCAGCAAAGTAGCCTGCATGGCACCCAAGGGACAGCTGGGTCTCAGAGCAGACAGCTGCTGGGCAGGGGCAGAGCCATGCCCTCCACCAGGCCTGGAGAGTAGGTCACAGCAGGCACTTATGGCAGTTCCCAGGCATGCCAGGGTCATGTTGCCTGGGGGGAGAAAGAGTACACCACGTGCACCACATAGGAAATCTGGCTTTTGCCACCTCGGGCGCCACAGCATCAGGGTGTGGATGTCACAGGGAGCTGGGGGCCAGGCACCGGTGGCCAGATTTACAGGGGGAAGGGTGAACATGTGGGGCCCTGATCAGAATAGAGACCACACTCCAATGCCTCTTCACCCACTTCATGCTCCCTCAGTCCCAACCCCATAAAGCCTAAACCAGATGCCCAGGACTCATCCAGGGAAGGACACACTTGCACACACAGACATGGTCCAGGATGTGGAGGAGGAAACAGAGGGCAACACAGGGCAAGGAAGGACCAACTTAAGTCCCCAGGGGATCTGCAGAAGCAGCAGGAAGACCCTTACCACCCCCTAAGTCGCTACAAGCTGCATCAGGTGACATAGTGCCCATTTGAAACAGAGTCTGAGGACACCACACCCCTTACTTCACCTCTGCTGGAGGAAAGCCCAGGAGTCCCTCTCAACCTGCACCCCCTCCCCAGCTCCTCCAGGCCCTGTCTCCCAGACCCATACTCAGGACAGATGCTGTGTACACATCCCAGGTGAGCCATCCAGCCTGGGACCAAGGCCCAGGCTCTGCCTCCTGCTGGTCCTGGACCTGCACAGCCGGACACCACCTTCCAACCTCCAGGTATCCCCTCATACAGCACAGTCATCAGGAAGAAGCCCTGGCCTCTTTCACCACCCGAGGCACTTAACTGCCAGGTGGACCCCATGGGGCTCTTCTCTTGGGGTTGGGGCCCTGGCCTCTGGGGAAGCACCATCCCACCCTCCTACACGTGGGCATGCCCTTTCTAACCCATGATCTCCCACCTCTTCCCCGTCCCCAGAGCACTGCTGGCCTCACTAGGCACTCACGTGCCTCCATCCTCCCAGGGCTGTTCACAGGCAGGCCCTGCGCCACCCCCACCGCCTTATTTTGGGGCAGTGGCTGCGGCATCTCTCCCCAGAATTGAGTCTGTGGGCGTGGTGACAAGAAGACAGGTTAGGAGTACAGTTCTCTGGGCCCTACCAGGGTCACTGAGACAGTTCCCTGCGCAAGGGTCTGCGAGGCTGGTCACTCCTAGTCAGGCAGACCATGCCACCCATGGGACTGACAGGCCCAGGCCCCTCTGAAAGCACCAGGTGCTGGCAGCAGAGCAAGGCCAGAGCTCTTGTTCCCACCCCTGCAAAGACAGAGGGACCACCACTCCTGTCCCAGAGCCTGATTAGGGCTCCTGCAAACAGCAGCTGCCAGCAGTACAGAGGCAGGGAGGGGTGTAGGCTTTGTGGGGTGAAGGGCTCGGGCTCCTGGGGAAACATGGTGCCCAGCCCCCAGCAGGGTGCAGGCTGGGCTGAGGATATGATGCCATTGGTTATTCAACAGGCAGCCCCAGCAGAGACTGCAGCCAAGGACCCAGGTGGCTGCAAGGGTGGGGGATGCTGGGGCTGCAGCACCCGCCTTCAAAGTAGCCAATCACGAGGCAGAGGTTGGGCTCTCCAGGGGCAGGCAGCCAGCTTGCTGAGGCAAGCAAGACTCGGACATTCTGTTCCTAGGGCTAGAGGTCTCATGTGACTGCTTTTCCCTCCCCTTCCCGCCCACCACCTGGGAGGCGCAGAGCAAACACCTAAGCCCCACAGTGTCTACCCCAGGTCTGTCCCCAGCCTCACGTAGGTAAGGCCTATCTGCTGTCAGGGTGTAGGGCCCCCAGTCCCAGTAAGGACCTGGCATGGTGGGCCTAAGTGCCAGCATAGGAATCAGGCACTTTGCAAAAAAGAAAAGGCTGGCCTTGCTGGGGCCAGCAAAACTCCAGGAAGTTGAGGGCAACATGGTCTTGTTGTTCTGACCTACTGCACAGGAGGGCAGGTCAAGGAGGTACTAAATTGTCCCCTATACTTACTGCCCCTAGAGGGGCCCTACAGCAGGTCAGTGACCCCTGGAGGAGACCGCAGCACGGGCAGCCATGCTGCAATTCCCTTCTCCATGGACACCTGGACAGAAGCTAGGCCTATAAGGCTCCACACTAGCCAGGCAGAGCCATCTGCAGGGCAGGCTGGGGCCAGGTGCAGGTAGGATGGTGCGACCTGCCCAGCCAGTCAGAAATCCCGCAGAAGAGTGACTGTAGCAGAGCTGGAGTTAGTGCCTCCTGCACAGGCCAGCACTTGTGCAGGCAGCACACGCCCCAGCCACACCTCTGTCATAGCTGTTCCCTTCTGCCCCTAGGGCTGAAGCAATTGACTCTCATAGAATGTTTGTACATCAGGAAATGTTATTCTTGTTTTGATTTCTTTCAACCACTTGAAAATGCACAAAGCATTCTTGGCCTACAAACTATACAAGAACAGGCAGTGGGCCAGACAGACCCAAGGGCCCCTATGTGCTGACCCTTCCTCAGGCTGTACGCATACCAGGCCTTCCAGGGAAGCCCAGAGATGTCATCTGCACAGAGCAGTAATGCAAGAACTCCAAGCAGAACCTGAGAAGGTCATCTGTGAGGGTTAACCTTGGCCTCCTCCCAGCTGAGACTGAAGCCCAGCAGCTGGGTGTAGCCTCCCGACCTCCCAACAGTCCCAGGTGCTTTGGGGTACCCGAAGCAGACACCAGCAGGCCTTACTCCATCTCCTTTTGCTCAGCCTCCATGGGGCTCAGGTCCTCCTCCACACCATAGTCCAGGATGGAGCCTACACCAAAGGCCTTGTTGTGCCGAATCAGGGGTCGGATAGACTCCTGGTCCTCACCAGCCACAAACTGTCCATAGAAGGTCATCTTCATCAGCCTGTCAAACAGCCTCTGCCCCAGAAGTTTTCTGGTGATGTGCAGCAGCTAAAAGGCAAAGGAAAGCAGCTGTCCTGGGTGCTGGGCCACCTCCCCTGCCGAATGCCTCTGCTCACCCCCACTCTGCCACTTCAATTTAACCACAGGGCCTTGCCACGTCTCCTGGGCCAGACCTAGCTCCCAGCATTGTTTCATGGTGAAGACCACCGAAGCAGCTTGCTCTTCCGCTCACAGTAGCCATCCATCACGCAGGGCCCCACCCAGGGCAGAGCGGCCCAGGAGGTGCTTCCCCATCAGTCCCCTCCCAGCTGCCATGAGCATGCAGTTCCTGCCTGGATTCCAACCCCAGGGGGCCTATGCACGGGTCAACCCAGCAGCACACGGGAATGCCTGACCAAAACTTGGTGGGTGAAGAATGGCCTCACTCCAATGCAGTGGGCATTTCCAGAACATGCTCTGTATCCACACCTTGGCAGTCCTGGCAGGGAGGATGATTTGACTCAACTTTCTAGAAAGCAAGTACCCAGATTTTTCACTGTCCTGTTCATTCTTACCCCAAGTCCCTAACACAACATGCCAGGACCAGAGCCACCTTGAATGGTTGCCCAACAATAAGCACATGCAAATGCAGACTGGGTCTGAGCTCAGCCGGGCAAGGTGTGCCCTGACAAGTACAGCAGGCCAGTGATTGCCCACCTGGGACAAGTGAGTGCCCACAGAGCCGTCTGTGGTCGTCCAGCTACTTGAGGACGTGCCCTGAGAAAGACACTCAGGACCTGCTCAGCCCTCTCCTCCAGTCACGGCTGGCCACCAGCTCATTCACACGCCCCAAGCCGCCACATGCCAGGCACCATGCTAGAAACTGGGACGATGGAAGGGAACAGACAGAGAGCTCACATCAGGTGGGGAAGGGACCTGTACAAGGAAGGAGTGGCTCCATGCATGCTGGAACAGGGATGGGGCAGTGCCCACGGGGCATTTCCTAACCTAGATCAGGAGGGGCTGCACCAAGGCAAGGAGGTGGCATGGAGAACTGGTGGAGCTCCCACAATGGGGACAGCCAGGGCAGGAGGGAACAGGACAGCAAGAGGCTCCTGGGCCGGGAGGGCCAAGTGTGGTGCTGGGAAGCACCCACCAGCCCACGTCCGCTGCCCCCACCAAGGGAGCACCTCTTGGGACCAGGATTTTAGGAACAGCCTTGAGTTTCAGCAAAAGCATTAGCAAATCCAACATCTTTATCCCCAAACCAGACCCCAGCAACCCCACACCAGCCACAGGCAGACATGGTCCCACCGCCCTTCCTGCACTGCATGCTGGTGCTCAAAGAAATGCCTCCTTGCCTCACCTGTGCATAGCACGGAGTGGCCACAGGACCAAGGTTTCCCAGGCATCACCCCACCTTTCTGCAGTCTCTGTGCAATGTCTGACTTTTAAAGAGGATTCAAAACTGGAAAACGAACATGCTGACACCCAAGATGACACAGGCCAGCCTCTGTGCCCACCAGGCAGTGTCCAGGGGTAGCTGGGAAAAAAGGATGGGCATCAGGTGTATCAAAGATCACTCAAGCAGCAGGTGGGACAGAATCAGGGACCTAGAAATCATCTTTCAGCTCAGTTGGGCGAGGCGTGCCCCAACAGAAAAGGAAAGGAGCCTCAGTCACATCAGCTCTGAGAGAAGCATCAGAAACACACCATGAGCCCAGGTGGGAGCTGTCCACTGCAGGGGCCACACAGGCCACGCAGCCTCTAACCAAGTGCCTACCTCTGCCAGGCTGACACTCAATGGAGGGGCAGGAACCCAGTCACTCCAGCTCCAAGAGCACTTTACTCACAAAGACAGAGTGGTAGGAATCGCCTGGGCCATGCTGGGAGCTCCCCACAGGGCTGTGGAAGACACAGGCAGGCCTGGCCAGCTTAGAGCTGACTCCAAAGCAAAACGGCCACTTTCAAACCACCTTGTGTCATATTTGCCCCAGGAGGCACCACCTGAGACCAGGGCAGCCCTACCTCTTCTCCAGGTGGGGAGATCTTTCAAGGATTTAACTTGCACCAGTACCTTGAACAATTATCATAATGCTATAAGAAGGGGCTTGGTAGTAGTGGGAAACCACTAGGGAAGGGAGGGGTGGGATTGGCAGTTGAGGGAAACTGCCTGGGGAAAGAGGGGCACACCTCATCAACAAGGGTACCTGCATAATGAACATTTGTATACCTATCCCTGAACTGTACCCCACATCTTTAAAATAAAATAAAATAGAAAGAAACTTGCACCAGTCATACATACACTGGGTTTCACAGTGAGACTCAAACACATGCATGGAGCCAGTTCTCTCCCTCCTTGCCCTCAAGGAGCCACTGTCCCTGTCTGTCCTGTCCCTTCCTCTGCAATGGCTCATGCTCAAGCACAGAGCCACCGTCCTGGAAGATCTGGCGTTTCCTAAATCCTCTTCAAAAAAGCCTGCTTTCAGGCAAATGCAGGCCCCGCTGAGTCCCAATCCAAGGCCACCTGAAACTCTAGAGCAGGCTTGATGGCCCCCACTGCCCTGGGGAGCCCCACAGACTCACGCTGGCTCACCAAAGGGAGTTTTTGTGGCAGGCCAGAGGACGAGAGAAGGACCGGTTCTTGTGAGAGCTCACAAGCCCAGGCCTGGCCTCTTCCCTGATCCTCCCAGTGCCAAAGCTACCAACATCAACAATGACAATGGTGCAGACCCCATAGAGGGGCTTCCCAATGCACAAACTGGACCCAAGAGGAAGCTGAGAGAAGTTGTGCCAGATGCCCTGCCTCCAGCACTTGCCTTGATGGTACCCAAGAAACTACAGCCCTCTCATGGTCACTGGATGGCACCCTGCCAGCACTGGAGCACTGGGAGTCCTTCCCCTCAGCAGGCTTGGCGCCAAATCTCATGGCACAGCCCTGCTGGTTTCTCAGCACCATAGCTGGTCTTGAATCCAGAAGAGAAAGCTTGGAGCTGTGCCTGGAGAATTTGGCCTGGCCAGTTTCTAGCCCTCTCCCCCTCCCAGCCAGCCACATGGTGGGCACAGCTTCTGAACTGCTGGCCTCTGTCCCGCCCAGCAGCCACCTGTGACCCTGACTTTGGGAGCCAATCATGACCTTGCCCTCCACAGAGGCCCTGTGGTTGGCCACTTCCTCACCTGTCACTCCTTTCTGGCTGCCCTCTAGATGCCTGCACTTCCCAAAGCATCCAAGTTGCTTCCCTTCCCCCACCAGTTCCTTCATCCACAATGTCCCTTCTGCCCCACCTGCCCCCTTGGCCTGGACTCTCCACAGCCACACCTTGATCTCAGGGCATCAATGTTTGCTGTAAACACTGAGATGACCTCTCAGAGGCATTTAGCCTGTTCCTCCACTGTCTCCCCCACACTTCCACCATGGGTCCTGGGCTCCAAAGCTGACCATGACGCTCCCGGTGAAATTTGGCCTCCCTGGCCTTACAACCGACTGACTTCAACCTCATGGACCTCTGCCCTTACCTCCCACCCACTAAGGCCTTCCCAAAGCTGGAAGTGTGACGGGGTGCTTCTTCTCAGCCCCCATGCCACCTCCTGCCTCCCCGTGGGGTCAAGAGAACAGTCTTGCCCAAGAAATGAACACCAACAGATCCTGTGATGACCACTGGCCCCCGCGAACTATTCCCAGGGTCACCAACTGCCATCTCCACTGCTCCCAGACTGAAAGTAGCTAAGACAGTGGGTCTGCTGCTTCTTACTCCCCAAAACCCTCACACTTTTTAAAGATATCACATGTATGTCTAAAGATGGGCGTTTGAACGGCTTCTCTTCTCCCCAACAAAGTCTGCTCAGTGGCCGTGTTTGGGTGCAGCAGGGGTCCAACTTGTGGAATTCCGGCCCCCTGGCTACCAGACCATCATTACACAGACTTCTCTTAGGGAAACAGGAATATCCTGTTTTACGTTCCAGGTGATAACTCTGTATTCTTGCAGGTGGTGCAGGTCTTTTAAAAAATCACCGTTCTTTGTTTTCGGTTGGTAGTAACTGACAAGTGGGAAAATCCTCCAGGTCCGAAAGGGAAACAGGAAACGCCTCTCTTCCTGGCTCCACTCGCTAGGGCGACGCTCCAGAGGTCCCATCTACGCTTGGAAGCCCCATCTTGGCCTCAGAGCCTCCCCATCCGCACCAGCTCGTGGCGCGCCAGTTGCCCCGACCCCCGCGCACCTGCTCATGGCGCGCCAGCAGCGCCGGGGAGGCGCACAGACGCAGCACCAGGAGGCCGCGCGCCAGCTCCCAGCTGCGCCGGCTGCGGAATGCCTCCTGCGCGTTGCCGAAGTCCACGACGGGTACTGGCGACCG